TAAGACATTCTCAGACAAAAAGGGGACAATATTAGACTCAAAGGAATTCTAATGAGAATTTCCTACTTCCAGTTTGAGGCTTGACAAAGAAAAAGAAGAAATCCCTTCCAAACTCTTGGTCTATTATTAATCCATTGGGGGTTTTTTGCTGTTTGTTTTTTTGTTTGGGGTTGTTTGTTTTTTAATTTTTTATCTAAACTCCTGGCTTAATAATTATTTTGCAAAATATAACAAAGACACGATCAGTGTGAAGATCAGGAGCTGAAGTATTGCTTTCTGTTGTCTTTCCTTTTATTCTTAAAGAATCTTTCAGGTCACCCTTGTTTTAAAGGGACCATCCCTATACACGGCATGTGAAGAGGAGTAGTTATTTTTCACTAGTAATTATTAATTATTTTCAGTAGCAATTATTTTTCATCAGTTCACCTTGCCTTTCTCTTAAAATTAAGCCTCTTTATTAGTTTTATATTTTTGATTTGAAACCCAGAGGAACCTTGTCTCTTTTTATATAGTAAATAACCTGGCATTGGGATTTTACTGCTCTGCAGCATATTTGTTCAACTTTTGTAACTGCTTCTGAAAAAAGGAGAAGATGGCTAACAAATGCATAAGACTGAGATGCTTAAAACCTTCAAGAAGAACAACTAGTTGTTGTTGTTGAACAGAAAGCTGCTGGTATACTTTGTGAGCAAATGAGAGAATGGCTAAACAGAAGAGCAGCCTGCTACTTCATTTACTAAGTCTTTAGGTGAAAATCTAGGCATTTCTGGTTTTGTGGTAGTTCCATCACGTCTTAAATCCAGCCACTTCCAAACAGGAAGACAGTGTCTCTATTTTAAATATGTGATGTCATTCAATGGAAGCTGCTTCTATTAATGAAAATCCTAATTATTGAGGGACTGTTTCTACCAAAGGCAGTTTTAATTTTATGCTTAATGTTTAAGTGAAAATGTTACTGGTTTTAAAATTGTTTTAACCAAATTATTAGGAAAAAAGTATATTCATGTCAATCCTGTATTAATGGTAATACATATTGCCCTTATTCTGAGCAACGAACTAAGCACTTTTCCCTCTATTTTAAAACATGGAGGATATACTGAAAGCTTCTGGAAGATTAGTATTTCTCAATGAAGTGGTGCAGTGTAGGTAACTTTCAGGGTTAACTCTCCAGCACAGATCAATAAAAGAATGCAGAAATAGTGTGATTACAGAAGATGAAAAGTTGGCCCAGTGCTTTGAATAACTAATTCTTTGCTTGACTTTGGATATCTTTCTTGTTGCACATTACAAAGAACGCTTTTTAGTTTGTTTTTCATTTCTAAGGCTACAGTATTATATAAATAATTTCATAAATTTTCCCATACATGAAACACTGATTTACATCCAATTTCTAGTGATGCATATGCACTGTAACACCAACCATAAAAAAAAAAAGCCTTCCTTATTTAAGCTTTATTTTATTTTAGAAGATGGCAGAGAACACAAAGAAGAAATTGGTATTTGCATTTCTACTTTCAAAATGCTTCAAAGAAGCATAAAAAAGGGGCTTTGGAATACAGTCTTTTTTATTTTCATTGTAAATCATATTCACAGAGTAGGTGGGGTATTTTTTCCCTTTAGTCCTGTAATCACTTTGTTTACTATGGCATAGTGTTTTCATACTTTGATGTATTCCTTTTCTTTTTGTGTTTTCTGAGACAGAAGTAGAAGAATGGCCAGTCAATAAGGAGAAATCATCATTTTGAAAAGAACAACATGATTTAATCGTTGTCAATTCATGGGCATTAAAATTCAGATACATTGTGAAATACAAGATAATGACAGAGAACAGGAATTGATTCTAATGATAGAATATTCTCTCATGAACAGAAAATAGCACAGACTTTTATCCAGTTTTTAAGCTGCTTTTTAAAGTTTTTATCCAAGCACCTAGCTAGCTTAGTTGAAAATAAGAAAACATCTTGACATTTGACATTATAAAAGGAAATGGAGTCAGTAGCTGTAAAAATAAATATAATTCGTGTCTTTTTGTGTATTTGTGCCCACTTCTCAGGTAATCATATGCTTTTTATGGTTTTTATACCTGCTTACATTATAAGTAACTATTTTTTTCATACAAATGTATTTTCATCCAACTATCCAATTAACTGTATCTTATAATAATACATAATGTTGTATATCAATACACAGATCTAAATCTAGCCTGATCCCCAATTAGACTATTGGGCTCTTCATAAGTAACACGATGAATGCAAATTCACATACTGCGACTCCATTACACGAACATATGATTCCTAGCAAGCATTATCTCCATTGCGAACTTACAGGCATAATTGAACGATAAATTTGGCCATCTGCGATCATATGCCAGCTCAGCATCTCTCTGGAGACCTCTTTCCTTGTTGCCCTGTGGTCTCTTTGTGCTGCTGAGCTGGGAGCTCAGGGGCTTTCCCCAGAGTTGAGGGATCACCTGGGTGGTGCAGAGCCTGCTCAGCCACCGGCCCGGGGTATTATGGGTGATGCACAAAGCAGGGGTGGGTTGGGGGGATGCTATGTCCGGGCTGTCACAGCGGCAGCCCAGAGATAAGGACGCAGAAGGCATAAGCTAGCGCAAGCCTGAGATTGCTGTGATTTAGGACCTGACCAGCCATCTCCAGAGCGTTGCAAAGTTGGTGAAAGGCTGAATTTGCCTTTCCCGCAGTGCCTTTGGTCTAGCAGTGAGGGCACTTTAGCCAGCCCCACGAGTGGGTTGGATGTGTACATTTTTTATGCAGGCAAAATATAATCCCCAGTCCTGCAAAAAAGATGTATCTGGGCAAAACCCTGCGAAGGGTTTCCCTGGAGAGGTAAAAAAAAAAAAATATAATAAAAAATAAAATTTCATGAGGGTCTCTTCACCTCTGTGCAATAGGAAACCTATGCAGCCTCCTCCAGATCTAGCAGATCTTTAGGCAGGATTGAGCCAGCTGCATAAAAGGCTTCCCTCTTTACAGCAACTCTGGATCTAGCTGGGGTAAATACTGGGATATTCCCCAAAGGTTTTCCCATCCCACAACCTCCCTGTCCAAGCTTCAGAAAAGACTATGAAATAGTCTGCATCTTTTTTTCCACACTTCTGAAGGCTGGACGGGGGAATAACATGTATTCCTCTTGGTCATGGTCCAGTCTTGCATACCCCATTCCTTATCCTGTACAGACATTTTCCATTTCTCTTTCCATTTCCATTTTTTCTCCAAAGGGTTCAGAAAAGGTCCTGAATGCCCTGAGAAAATGTGTGAAATGGACGCTGATTTAAAAAAAGTCTGTTTGGAAAAGATTACATGGGTTTAGGGGCTTGACCTGTAATAAGTCTCTATTTATCACTAAGTGATAGAGTTTCAAGAAAATCCAATTCCGAGTGGATTAAAAAAAGGGGGGGTTTGGCACCGAGATTGCTTCATCTGTATAGTATGAGCAAATATCCACAGTGGATGCAAATATCCCCAGAAGGATGGAAATTTGCCTCTGAGCTTGATGGGAACAAACTCCAATAAAATACCTCTTATGCTATGGTATCTTTCCACTACAATCCTATCATACATTGTTCCTGGTTTGTTCACAGAGTTTTAAAACAGGACCACAACCACTCCAGGAAAGAGATTTATTTACTCATGTCCATGGGAAAATAACTACACCAAACTGTTCATGAAAGCATACCACTTGTGTCCTACTTGGATAAATACCACTATATCTCATTTAGATACAGAAACAATGGGAAGCTATAAAACTTTGCGTAATACAAATATTGGTCCTCTGAAATCTTCGTAGTCAGCAAGCGCAGAGTAGGAAAAAAAGAGTTCTCCATTTTTGAGTGGCAGAACCAATACTGGATAGAGAATGTCAAAACTGCCTTAGAGATTACTCAAGACTAAGATATTTTTAATCAGTGGCCTCTTTGCTTTTTGGATATCCAGCTTGAGACACCATAAGTGGAGTAAGTATTCAGAAAGCCTTGAGCACCCACTCTGAAAAACTGGTTGCATTAAGGTATCTGAAGATGAGCACCAAGAATTGCTGCGTCCAAAATAAGTTTGCATCAGAAATCCAAATTCCCTCAAATTGGTATTTAGGGAGGACCTAGTGCTTTAGGCAGCTCTGAAAATCCTAGGCACCATGCACAGTGCGTTTATTTCTGACACTGGCAGATATAGGTAAACATCTTCCAACAAGACCACTGCAGATTTAGTGAAAAGAAGTATTTCAATTTATTTTTTTTCTGTTAACTCTAAGGAGGATGAAGTAAATAATTCAGGGCCAGTGATACTATTTTTTTCATTGACAGTTTAAAAAACAGATGTACCTTTTAGATATAAATGAGATGTAAGGAAATATTTTCTTTTCTCTTCTATACCTTAATAGCTGGTTTCAGATTTTATTTAATAATCTTGTTCTAAGACTTAATCATTTTAATGTTTTTTTTCTAATTTTTATTTCTTGTGATGTGTAAATATGTAAGAAATGTTAAATATTGTAATGTTCTTTTGTTAAGACAATAACATTTCAAAGGCTAATGTAAAATCAAGCTGCTAAAGTTTACAATTTCTCTGTCCAGCAGTTCATTTATACAACTGCCCTGAGTAGATGCTATATGCTGCTTAGCAAATGGCCTTTAAGAGTTTAAAAATAACTCAGTAAAGCTACTCAAAGGTACTATAACCCTTCTCAGGCATCTTTAATTGGAGTTAAGAAGAAAACAGGATTTTCTCATTAGTTAATTATTCACTCCCTCATCAATGATTTATACACAACAAAACCACAATTGAAATGTTCAGGAGAACTAATTGTGCTTGTTCCTTTGCATGGGACCATGAGCTTATTTTTCAGAAAGGCAAGATTTTAAATTGTAAAACTAGTCCTGTTTTTGTGGACTGTTTTAGCTGCTTTTAATTTACTCTGTGTTGTTCCCATGTGAAACCAGTGAAACAGTTATTTTCTAACCTACATTGTTGTGGGGTTTTTTTGCAAAACCTCACTGATCCCCTTTAACAAAAAGTTTATCTTATTTCAAAATTAATTTGCAGTGTTTCTCAAACTGATACAAATATGTAAAATTTGTGCTTTTAAAAGCTTCTGCTTTGAGTAGCCTTACATTCCATAATTGTGCCCTAGCAATTATCAAGCTCTATTGCATGCCCCATTCATGGAAAGTATATTTTGTTGGGATGATGTAGCTTAAAGAATTTGGCTCTAAAACTTCCTTACCTAGAGCTTCCATTAAATTATATTAATTTAAAATAACTATGGAATGATACTTTTACAAAAATATTAACACAAAAAAGACCCCACAAATTAATGGGTTGGGTTTATGAAAATGACACTTTACAGTAAGTAAAAAAGGTTTATCACAGTTTTGGTAACTTGCATGAGTTCATATCGGAAAAAAAAAAATCTTTCACATGTTCTTAATGAATTTAAAACTTTTGTGCTCTAGGTATTTTCAGTTGTATGCTCGGAAACAGTAGACACCGTACAGCTTGTGCTTTTTATCAGGGAAGCCTACAAAGCGAACCGCTGCTTCGTTAGGACTGCAGCGTTTCCTTGGCCGGGAGATGGGGTAGCGGACGCTGCCGTCAGCCAGCCAGCCGGCATCGCAGCGGTCGTACCCCAGCAGCTTCCAGGCGGCAAATATCTGGCCAACTTTAGCGATCTGGGCTCCATCCTTCATGCACGCCTGAACGGCTTCATCATAGGTCAGCTTGGTTGGGTGAATTAGGTAGTAAAAACGACCTGGCAAGAGAAAGAAGGAAAAAGGATCATTAGCGACACGATTAAGATGGTGGGATATTATAAAAGCGGTTCGAGGAGAACTGGGGATGTTCCACTGCAGAATCATATCAAACAGGAGTTGATTTGGGACTGTGCAATTTGTATGTTGCACTGTTAAAAATATCTTAATTACTTGTATTGTGAGATGATAGATATCAGGAGTGGAAAAAAAAAAAAAAAGGCAAATAGAGAAAACAGATGATTCGAACCAAAAAAAAGTAGCATTATATTTATTTCTGCTAACTTATCGTGGCATGGCATCCCCACCCTCACTTGCCTTGAGTGGTAACTGAACTGTTGCAGTGCATTTTCACCCTCAGAGGTAGAAAAACAGGAAGAAAAAGGCTGCGGGAGAGGGATGATGGAAGACCCTCTGGGATTCAGAGGAGGGCACCTGTTCTGCCTCTGACTTTGTGGTGCCACATGCATTTACCAACAAGGTGCCACTGACAATCCAGCCAAATGTCTGAGGAACCCCACAGATTTCGGGCAAAGCAGATCTCATGCAGCTATCGGAGTCGGAAAATCAGTTAAACATCCAAAGCAGTGCATTTCTACATTATGGCCCCAGCATCAGCTTAAAGTCCTTACAAGTTTTCCTCTCAGAAGCATGGCACAGCAAGATGTGGCCTTTGATAGCATTTGGGTGAGGGTGGCTGGAGGTAACACATGCAGTTTTACACTCTGACAAGGCGGTGACCTGGTTTCTGACTAAGTACAACCACAATTTTATTTATTTTCTTTTTTTTTTTTTTCCTGTAAGAAAGCCGAGATATTGCGCAGCTTTTCAGAAGCAAAGTTTAAGCCTGTGGTAGATCAAAACCATGCCTGTCGTAAGTCTTCATTAGCAGCGTCAAAACCACGCGCGGCAGTTCTGCGGCTCTGTTTCTCTTTAGGCATCAAAGGGTATGTCCTCACCATAAGACGGCATTGAACTGATAGCGCTGCTAAGAAAATTATGCCTCCATCTTAAGGTAACGAAAACATATGCCAGCAAGTAAAGCTCAAAAAGGAAGTCTCCCCTACTAATCCATAAGCAGCAATAATACTAACAGTAATTTCATTTATCAAGGCAATATAAATTCATCATAAGCCTTTCATTCGTTATACTTAGGGTTATTTATCATCACTGATCTGACAATTAACCAACTGTGAGGTAGAAATGGATTGCAGAGGAACAGTGTTTATTTGAAGGAATAATAATTCACAGATCAATTCACATCATTTCAGTCTGACTGTCCTGTAAGAGGCAAGTTAGCTGAAAAACAAAGGAATTTATCCATGTGGGGATCTTCTAATTTCAGAGCACACTCTTTACTTCTTAGCTAATAATGTACTCCAGAATAATATCCTTTTGCTTCCTCATAAAAACCAGACAACCACATAAACAGAATTCTGCTCAGTTTCAGAGTACTTTCATGGTGAAGAAAAAGTGGTGAGCAAGATGAAGAGTTAGGTCAGCTCCAGACCCCAGGAAAAAGCACACAGCTTTTTTTAAACTGCAGAAATATCAGGTCAGATTACAACATAAAGCTAATTGAATTAACTTTGTGTAAAGTTTGGAAATTTTATACCATGACAAGAACACTAAAAAAAAAAAAAAAGGCATTTACAATGCAGCTGTGGTGGAGAAGAAACTTTTTTAAAAAATTAATTGCTGTCAGAGACATTATCTAGAGTATTTCCACAGCAAACTGTTGAGAGTAGATAATCTTCCCCTTTGTAAAATGCTTGCTTAACTCCATTTCAGCAAGTTGAGAGCATTTACAAGGTGTTTCTAAAGAGAATGTTTATTAAGTGGAAACCTGTTTCTATTATGCTATTAAGAGGCTTCCCCAAAGCGAACAGGATTTCAGACTTAGGGGAACAGGGATTTGGACTGATAGCATGTAAACTTCACCTAGCTTATTAGTTGCTCTTCAAACCATATGTCAATGGAATGTAATTTCCTAGGGATTTGCAGTAAGGTCAGGCTTTTGACATATGACGTCAATAATAAAAACTCCTATACTCAGTCCCTTCCTTAAATAGGAGAACTTTAATAGTAAAACCTACAGGGGTGCAATGTGTATCCAGAATGTCTGATTAAATTATATTCTCTTAATAAACTCAGTACAGATTTGCTGGGTTTCCCCCGCTAATAGGTTAGAAGGGTTCCTAACTGTTCAATCTTACTATTTATTTATTGATGTGGAAGGAGAGGGAGGCATTAACTGTCTCTCATTAATATCTGGTAGTTGGGTCACTCCTACAGAGGAGGGGTGTGCTTCATATGACTTCTCACATCCAAACCATGGGGCAAAGAGTTTATGCAAACCTAATCAAACCCCATCTATACCAGCTATTTTAAGATTTTGCATGTAGCAGAACAGCTTAAAGAGGAAAACTTCAGCATTTGACCTAAATAACCTACACCCTTGCGACTGTGGGAATTTGAGGGATGCACCATCCTTGGAGATTTTTCCAAGCTCAGCTCTAAACTGAGAGATTTGAGAGTAAGTTTTTATGTGTACAAGACAGCAGGCCGTCATCTTCAGAGGCACAGAAAGGCAATCCCACCCCATTCGCTATTTTCTGCGCGAAAGTGCTAATGCAATGCCTTGAGAAGAAAGTTCTTGATGAAGTGCTCAGAGAAGACACCTCCACATGCAGCCAGCCATCAAGTATCTAAGCACTTGGGCTCAGCCCTAGGACTGCTCCCGAGAACTACTGGTTTTGCTGGGGCAGCTTCTTGCTCAGCTTGGTGTCCTCAGCGCAGTGCAGGGCCAGCCGAGCAGCAAGCTCTGCTTGGTAGGTGGCCACACGTTGGAGGAACGCTGGGTGCAGGACTGCCTTTAGAGCCCGCGATTGATGTGTACCCCAAAAAGCTTATGGCCACAGAAATCAGTTAAGTTGTTTTACTGTGTAAAGAGCAAATTGCTCTAATTTGTGGTTTCATATGTTCATAAAAGGCATTCTCAGCAGCCAGCGGGGTGTGTCTGTAGCTTGCACGTGTAGAACCTGTCATCTGCTCAGCAGACTTGGTTCAGTACATCTTCTAGCAATGCTAAATGGTTGAGAGAGGCCGTTGTTCCTCAAAATTGAAGAACGTGTTAAAAATTTGTGATGTGGGAAAAATTTTTAAAAATCCTCTTCCAGGTCTTCCACCCCGCAAATGTCGGCAGTGAAACTCGTGACTCAGAAGCAACCTCTTCTAAGAAAGTTTATGAAAAAAACTCCTTCTTTTGGCAAAGTTTGTTTCTCTTTCTGGAACAACGGCTGCATGTTCCCAGTGATAAACTGTTCTGAAATGGTCAAATGAGCAGTCAGCATGTGTTATTCAGAGATTACTTTCTGTACCTTTCTCCCATTTAAATGGTGGAGGTGGTTAGCGTATCACACGCATTACTGTAATAAACAGGTGGTTCACAGCTGAACTTTTAACGTGATCACTAAAATTTATTCATCGCATTTTAACTTTGTTAACATGACTTTTTTACTTGACTCTGCTAGAGCTGATAACAAATCAATTATGCACTGTGGTTCTGTGTGCAAAGTATACAACAATGTTAATGAGCAGAGAGTGCATCATACAAGCTCTACTTACACCTTTTTTCTTTGAAAATGCTTAATTATAGAAGAGCTGATGGATATGTTTATATTTAGTTCACTTAACACTTTTCAGTGCAAAAGATTCCTATGTTTTTTGGGAAGCTCACTTCAGAAATCCCCTGGTTCTCTTTCAGAAATTTGAAATTGAGCAAAGAATAACCACTCAGCTTTACCATCATATGTTCTTTGTCCCATGCCTTTTGGGCTCTGTGGGGAAGACTGCAACAAAAGGATTTAGCTGCATGTATTCCCCTGAACTGGTGTGTAGAAGCCCAAATTAACCTTCTAGAGGGAATGCCATGGAAGAGGAGCATCTTCATTTCTTGGGGCAGATGGGAAAGAAATTGGGGTCGTTTGCAGCCCTTGAAAACCTTCAGATCATGGCAGGTTGTCCCACCACGTGGGGCAGGAACCTTTTCTTTCCTAAAGAGAACATGGATCAAAATGGCTTCTACTGTGAAGGAAGAGGGGAGGAGAAATCAGCTGTGAGGGAGCAGAGCTGAGCCCTCAGACATCAGGAAATTCCAACATGGAATTTCCAATTTAAGTTAGACACTTTCCCCTTGCATATATTAATTTTCAATAGTAATTATCAAAGGCAGGAATGTAAAAGCAGGTTGGGAAACATGTTGCTAAACAATAGTTATATCAATGGAGGCAAAAATGTTATGTTATCTCACAATATTTTGATGGATCCAATGGATAGCAGTATGTCAATGTTACTCTTTGCATTGTTTTATGAAACACATCACTGTATATTCTTATAAAGTGGTAAATTGCTGGTACTACTGTTCACAAAGTGTATGGAACGTTTTCAGGTTTTTGGCTTTGCCTGCACAGACACAAAACATGAACAGTTCTATGAACCAACAGAATGATTTGAGTTTGAAGCAGTTATACAGGCAGAACAGAATGTTTGACTATTGCACTTATACTAGTCTAAGAAAAGGCACTGCAGAGAGTAATTTCATAAAATACTAAGATTATTTTATATTGCATTGCTGACAAACCTTGCTAAAACAATTTCCCTGTACAGGTAACAGGAATTCAGGTAGAATTGTTTACTAATGATAAAAAAAAGTTTTTTACTGATATTTTTTGGTGTTTTCAGCTCATCACAAATGGGATCCAAAAGTTTGGAAGTGAAAACACTGAACTCAGATTTTAACTCACTGCATTGCTGACTACGTTTTCATTTTTCACATTAATGGCTGAATATAATTTTGCTGGTTTGTACCTCTCTTCATCAGGTGAAAACCAAGCTTCACATGTATTTTAGACAAAGACTTTTTAGCTTTGACTGCTGAACTATTTAAAATGGAACCTTTTTTTTTTTTTTTTTTTTTTATGATCCCTGAGACCATAATGTATTTGAGGTATTTCTTTGCCTAAAGAGAACCCACTTAGCAGAAAGCTAAACCTCTTTTTTTTCATAGCAACTCCCACAACTGACACTCTGAGTTTGTTTTTTTTTCTTTTAAGCTCGCCTTATATTCCCCTGATCCTGGGGCTCTTGGCGCTTTTCCAGCTCCCTGACATAAAGCTGAAGGCTTCTCTGTTTCACACCATCAGGAGACTCCAGCAGTCACTGCCACCGCTGGAAACGCGCAGTGTCCTAACCGCGTCTCATTTTCCTTGGCTGTTCCTGAGCTGAGAGAATCAATATTGGGTGTTGCAGAAACAGCTCTTTGCCCGTAGCCACTATCTTTGGCAACTGCAACCTGGTGGCAAAACGGGTTATTATAAGCTTTTCCCTTTACAGTGAGAAAGCTAACATATGCTGTTAAGCATACACAAGCTATCTGAAGTGTTGAGTTGAAAATAGGAAGTTGGCATTTTGGGAGAGCAAGTGGGTTTACTGTGGATATTAAGGTAAGCTTGGGACATGAATAGGGGAGAACTTAGCAGGGACGTGTGAGGATAACGTAACCTGGTGAGTTGCTGGTTAAGGAAATGGACGTTGAAGTCTAGATTTTGTGCTGACACCTTGAGAGACTTACATGGCACTGAGCTGTAGACAACTAGAAAGATGGTGCTCAGCTCTCTATATCATCCTATTGCTGTGTAGTATTCTGTCTTGCAGGTCAGTTTAACAGACTTACCAAGGATAAGATTTATTTTACTGTCTTCTCTTGGATTTCTCTACTACTTGCACACCTTATCCTCACCTCACCTCATTCCTATTTATCCCTCTTTCTCTCTCTTGCTGTATCAATGCATAGATAATATTTATCTGTCAGTACTTTTTTTTTTCCTCATAATCTTTTTTTCTCTTTCCTTAAGGGATACTGTCCAGCTGCTGGCGTGGAAAAGGATGGTGACTAGTGAACAACAGTCACCAACATTTACTCTGCAAGCATTATAAATCATGCAGCTATAACATTTTAATTCTTTTTCCTTGTTTATTTTATTCCTTGGTGCTATTTCTGTAGGACAGGGTTAAATCTGCATAAAAGAGATGAACTCAAATAGGATTTTGCCTTGGATAAATGAAGCAAGAAAAAAATGAGCCAGCACTTCATGGCATGATGCAGAATGATGAAAAACAGCCAAACATTAGTTTCAGACTGCATCCAGCATAATATAACATTGTTGGTTTGAGGATTTGGGGGTCTTTTTGAGAGGGTGGAGCAGACTTAGCGTATCTTCTGACAGCAAGGCTTATGTTTATCTTTTGGTGTGCTGTAGGGCAAAAATGCTTCATTGTGGATAAGCAATCTGTGCATAAACAAAAAAGGCCGTGTTCCTTGGTCTGGGTGGGCTGCAAGCCAAACATGTGCAAGGTTGCGTAGGAATTGTTCACAAGTAGGATGCTGTACAGGACTGTAGACGCCTTTTGCACATGTTCACTTGCAGCGTTCATCTCATTCACAGCCATGCTATCTAAATCCTTTTCAGCCACTAGATTAAACCTGAAATGATAGCAAGCTAAGATCACGTTATTTCATGCCTAAAGTAACATCTACAAACAGCAAAAACCTTTCAGTCGCTAAAATAAGGTTTAGAGCAGACCAAACTCAGAGCAAATGTGAACAGGGTTTTGGCAGGGATGTAAGATTAGGAATCTAAATTACTAGGCATAAAAGCTAGAAATAGCCTTGCTGATAAGGAAGTATTAGTCATACTAGAGCTGGTACACGAGCAGGAGTCGCTTGACACAACAGCATAGATGAAGTGGTGATCAGAATTTTGTTTTGTTGATCCTTTTAAGTTGTAAAACATCATAATTATAATTGAATTCAACAGCAAAGCTAAATGGAAGAATTGCAGGTTTCTTCATCACTTTAACCGAAATAAAGTGGGCATATATCAGCATTAAAAGAGTACATATAAATTTTAACGGGGTGAAAACGGAGATATTAGAAACTCCTGCCAATACAAGTTCTGAGTTGTAAAAACAATCTACGTGAACATGTGGCAAAGACAACTTTACTCTGCGCATGTGTCCTTGTAAATTCACCAATAACATTTTCCAAGCCTAATATAAGCTTTGACAAATCACGTATCACTTGCTGCCATTGGAATTTCTTTCCCAAGCACAGAAAGTTGTTTACAAGGCAGGGGCAAAGAAGGCTCTTACCGTTGAAGTTTGAAGTAAAACAGAAAACATCGTATCGGCTTTTATCTTTATCCCAGAACCCGTAATTCCTGACCCCAGGCACTGTGTTCTTCCCTCCGCAGGGCTCCCTGGGCTTGGTGATGGGGTACTGCACGGAGCCGTCGCTGAGCCAGCCGGCGTTACACCAGTCCAGCCCTGACCTCCAGGCGTCGTAGAGCTGGTCAAAGGAGGCGATAACAGAGTCTTGGTCCAGACAAGCTCGCTGAGCCTCGTGGAAGTTTAAGTTGTAACGACCCAGCCGTGGAGAGTAAGGGAATACGACACCTGAAGTGGTGGAAAGAGAGTGAGTTATGGGACACCGAAAGAGCAGAAGAAAGGGAAACAGCATTTACAGTCACCAGAAGGAGAAATGAAGGTTAATGACATGATGTGTGTCAGACTGTTGTTTTATTTCTGGGGAAAAATGCACTGTCAGCGTATCAGCCATTAGGTTTGGAAGGGGACAGCGCTGCCGCCTCACCTAGCCGGCTCCTCTCCCTGTAACATCATCCCTTTCCCGATGGGAACCGTGCCAGGTCTGCACATTGCTCCCACCTGCAGCTTTGCTGTCCTCACTGTGGTCTCGCCCTTGTGCACCCTGAGAGTGCTTCAAGATGAGCAAAGCTGGCTGAAATGTTGCAACTACACGTTCTTCATCAGAAAATTCCAGTTTATCAGCTGTAAGATCAATTTCTCATTTAAAAAAAGTAAATTAAAACCCAGATTAGTTCTATTTTTTTTTATTTTTTTTTTTTGTGGGATGGGATTTGGGGATTTTCTAGCAGTTCATTTAGAAAGAAGAAATTGTAGTGCAGAGGCATATGAACTATTTCTTTTGACACATAGACGTTAAAATGAAATGTTTTGATTGACATAAAAGTGCGCTATGTTCTTTGCATGGACCCTTGCCAAGATTTCCTGAGAGGTTCAAGACAGTTGGTTTTCTGTTTGTTTATTTTTATTTTATTTCACATTATCCTAGGAATGGGAAGGTATTTCAAACCTGGCTTAATAACAACATTTCAAGAATAGACTGGTAGGAGGCATAATTTTAGTGTCCTGAGGTCTTAAAGTAGGAAATCTATAGGGAAATAAAATCAGTGAAGTTGTGTGTGGTTTTAGGGAGACTTTTCTGCTACTTTCCAGCTGGTTTTTGGCAGTTTTTCACCACTCAAGGAGGGAGAGCTCCTCACAGAGGGCATCAGGGAGGACAGTTGCTTGAGCAGAAGACAGGTTTCCCCAATTACAGATGGTGACCCACGTAGCACACAGCATGCAGCAACGCAAGACAGCCCTAGTAGGAAGCCGTGTGAGACACCACCTTCCCTCGCTACCTCTATGGCTGCCAAAAGCCCTGCTGGCTTAACCAAAGGACACTTGCTGCAAAGCCACTGTGCAAGGAGCATTGACCTGCCAGGTGCTTCCTTCCGCCCCTGAGGACCAGCCACAGGCCGACCCAAAGCTCTACCTGTTGCTTATTTGTGGTGAGCCATTGCAGACAGTTATGCCAGAGAGACCTTCTCATAACAGAGGACATCCAAGTGGAGATAGAAAACCTGGGGACACCTCCAGAATTGTTTCAGCAGCAACACGTAACCAAAGTCATTGACCTTATCTAACAGATTTTTCTACAGTATATTTTCTGCTTGTTTTATGAAAAAGATCTGTAATTAAAGATTAATTCTTGAAGCATGAAAGATGTTTCAGAAAATGCTGAAGAACCACCTCCCCATCAGGCTCTGATAAAAGAGAAGAGAAAGACTTGAAACAAAAATTTGGATCAGACCACCCTAATCTTTGGCAAGGTTTAGAAACTTAACCCAGATCTAAATTTTACAGTTGGCTTTAGCCCAGTCTCATAACAAGCTGAAATAAAACAGCATCAGAGAAGATCCAGCTCAGAATGTTTATTCTCAAACATCCCTGTAGAACTAAGTGCTGTAGGATGCAGAGGGACTGAAGACAAGATAACACGAGATGAGCCAAAACTTTACACTGGTATAAATATCCATTTTTCTTTTCACTTTCTCCCTGCTGATTAATTCTCCCACCTATAACAAGTTCCTTTTCTCCTGGGCCGTGTAGCATAGGAGAGAGGAATTGCATTAGGGTCATGCAAGACTGTCACCATGCAATGAAGCCATTCTTCCTTCTGAACACTCAAACCCACTTCGGTGTCTATTCCACCGGTATCTTAACATCTCCTTTCTTTCCTTTCTCTTTCTCGCCCATCTATTGTCCAAGAAGTGTTATTCTTGTTAAACAAAATCTCTGTTATTACTAACTCTCAGTGACTTTGTCCAAGAAAATAAAGCATGCAAATGTAAACTTGGCAGGGTAATAATAAACAATATTTTGCTCCCCTTCAGCAATTAACTAGAGAGTCTGCTGAGGTTCTTTGCTTTTGTAAGTCCTTTGTTAAATGGCTTTTTAGTTATTAGCTGTTCTGAAATATAAAGCGTGAATGTAATGTAACACAACAAGTTGTTAACTGTAACTTCATAAACAAGAAGCTGTAGCTGTTTCATATTTTTCTGGATCTCTGTTTTTCCTTCCTTCTCCTCACCTCCTTTTTTTAAAAAAAAGTATTTGTTCCCCCTCAGTGCTAATGGATAGAAATATCACTGGTTATAATAAAAATGCAGCAAATGTCAGAGGAATCCAAGCTTTACTACTTTATTAGAAACCCAATACTTATTTTTTTTCCAGAACTACACTTCCCCAGACAACTGACTCCTTGTCCAGTACACGTGTCTGATTTGCATATACATGTAAAAAAAGCTAAAATCATCAGAGGTGGGTATTTTTTAATCAAGATCTAAACTTGCATACTTTTAAAACCTGAGCAACAATTAATTGGAAACTACTTAAAGAGATTTGATTCCTTAAGGTTTCCAAAATCACTTTTTAAAAGGGGTTAAATATGTATGTAAATTTGTTACAAATCTATTTGAGTTTGACAGTTGGGATGTTTTAATAACATAAATATGCACACAATATAATATTAGCTTTGGGCTATACTCGGGCAGACTGCATAGAAGCTGATTTTTGTTTGAGTTCATCTGCAGTACAAGCCTGCAACTGATTAACATTAATTTCACCCTGAAGATGGGGGTGGCCATTGGTGATTTTGTAAAGCAAAATTGACTAGTTATGTGTTTTGTGTAGCTTTGCATTATCTTGCATCTTTGTTAATTTTTTTTTCCTTCTTCATTTCCCTATCAAACCTAGCTTAAATTCAGAGTTAGATCTTACTATTCATCTTCCTTTTGTTATAATTTAGCAGTGCTGAACTTTAGTTAATTGCGAACTGTCTTCTTCAGTCTTGGCTCTTATAACCCGTCAAAAGATAATCCGTCCCATCTGTTCTTGAATGGACAAAAGCTGTCCTGAGGCTTGTTACTGTTCCCAAACTACAGACTGAATCTAAACTCCTGACTCCAACCCTGTGTTTTACCCCTAGACAAAACACCCACTTCCAAATGTTAACAAATTCAGCCTAAATAATGGAGAAAGAGACAAACTTCCAGCCTCAGATGGTCAAAATCTGGTTAGTTTGTGGGAAGAGTGAGCTGAGGAGCCTTAACTTGACCTTAGTGGTTCGGCTCACAACACCAAGGAGGCAGCTGAGCCATTTGTGGAGCCTGAACAGGGAATATTAATTTACCATATAGACTTCAGAATGTGGCTCCTCTCCCAAACAGGCAGTTCTCTGGAATAGGTCCTACCCCCAGGGAAGGACCTCCTTCCCTCCAAGCAAGAGAGGAAGAACCCGAGACACATCAATTCAGTGGAGAATAAATCTGTTAGTGAAAGAGGAGGTCCAAGTGAGGCTTGCTGTGTGCACCTGTGACAATGCTATCACAGTCAAGAAAATGACTTTTATAATGGAAATTAAGTTTTCTACCAAAATGGAACATAAGAAACGGATGTATAACATATCCTCCCCACACGCGCACCTATATCTCCATGAATGCCTTACGCTCAATTCCACAAATGTACAACTCTGCTTCAGTTACTGTGTTTTTTAGGGAATGAAAAAGAGATGATATTTGTGTGTCCTTTGTAAGCTATTTGTATTTAAGAGTCTTATATGCAGGTAATTCCTAAAATTCAGTGCAAGTGCTTTGCAATTACTCAGTCACTACAGACACATTGTCAGTGAAAGGAGCTGTAACGGTTACCCAAGACATCAAGGTGAGGAAATAACCTTAGAAAGCTCAACTCTTGTAACAATTTATGGGCAGCTATTAAGCCAGCACCATACACAATTAGCAGTTTTAACAGTATTTACACATAGAACAAAATAACACAATTTTTTGTTGACCCATATGGAAAAAAAAGGTCTTTCTAAAGCCAGAGTAAAGAAACGGGCTTCCTTGAGTTCTAGCCCAAACAGAAAAGTAAGTTTTCTTGTAGCCAGTGTAAACACAGGCAACAGTAGGGTTTGCTATATACTATACTGTAGGGTACAGTTTTGTGCTGGCAGGTTCATACACTTGATGGCAAAATTTTCCATGCTGGATTTCCAAAATTCTGTAAAAAGTGTAAAAAAGTCCCTCATTTTCCTTGAGACTCTACCTCCATTTCTCTGCCTGTCAGGGCTGTCAGATATCTGATCGTTCAGCACAGACGCCATGGGTGGGCCATTAGCTGTCAGCAGGCATCAGTCTCCCTAAAAATGAAACTGAAGCTTGAGATGGTGTCACTCCAGTCCATAGCATCCCGTAACCATGCTGTCAGTGGGGTTCTGACAAACAAATTTCTGACAAACACAGGCATACAAACTAGGCTCACCTGGCCTGGGGGCAGATTATTGCCTTGTTTTTCTACAAACTTTATCAAAATTTGAAGACTGTTGTCTTTCCTTGCTCTCCTTAGGCTAATTAGTCCTAATTCTTTTAGCATTTTCCTTTCAGGTCATCATTTCCAGATAATTTTTTGCTGCTGTATTTTGAACTTTTTACTTCACCTGCATCTTTCAAGTACCGTTTCTCACAGCACTTGCAAACACAGCTGTGCCTGAGAAGACCTGTTACTCTGCCACAGAAGGAATTACATTGGTCTGTCATGACTTACTCTTGACAAACTCCTGTAGTCTTTTACAAGACTTTTTGTTGTCTTCTAGGGACTCACAAATCATGCATCCGATAACATCAGTTTTATAGTAGAGAGTACAACAGTTTGTCACGCAAAGAATATTTAAAATAGCTTTTTGTGCAATGAATGTAACGGCACCACACAGAAGAAACGAATATGACATAGAGTATTAGGCTACATCTGATTTCTCCTGCTGTTGAGATCATGAAGTCGGTTTCATATTGGTTTCAGCTATGAATTCCCTGTTGGTTACATCCAGCTTAAGAGCAAATGACTAGATTAGAAAATGGTTGCTGGGGCAATTTGGAAGAGTTTGTTTATAGGAAGCTTATGGATTTGTTTGATCTATTTGCAACTATAAAGTCTGGTTTTTTGAGAGACATGTCTGTTTTTTTTCTAACTCTGTATTGAACGTAAAGGCTAACATTCCTCTAAGCAAGATCCTAAAACTTGATGGGGTTTTTTGGTTCATGCGGAGCCACCCAAAGAGTTAGCATCTATATAGAAGAAACTTTCTATGGAGACTTTTAATGGCTTTACCCAGTTCTACATATTTCTGGTACTGTTGAACGCACAAAGTAATTATTTTATAGCCTGTATTGCAAAACTAATGCCCTCAGTTATCACCTCTCCCTGAAGACAGAAACTATAAAAAAATTCTAATAGAGTAAAAATCTGCCTTTGGCAGTTTAGTGTTGTTCCACTTTCTTTGCCACCTGGCCCATGAATCTCATGAAGGAATAGTAGACAAAATCTGTGCCTGAGCAATATAACTGAAGGCCAGTGCTGGAGCCTTCGCACGCCTGGGAAGCCGAAGCACACAAACCTGATGTAGTGAGATTCATTACCGTGCCTAGTATTCCTAAGAAAGGAAAATAGTGAAGCACTACCATAAAGAAAATTTAGTGTAGAACAGTAAAACACCAACATAAAGAAAATTTAATGTAAGCTGAGAATTCTTTCTTTGCTTATGACTCAGGCAACAATATCTACCTGCTGTAGGAGACCTTTTAATTTGTTAAGCTTTTGGCTCTCAGGACATTTGACAAAGAGTGTAAAACTCATGATGAGTATTTTATGTGCAGGAGGAGAGCAAGGCCATTTCACTGAGAAAATTACTTTGGTGACAACGCCAACATAGAAGTGTCCTCTCTCTGCAGTACTTGACATTTCTTGCAGCCACTGTGCCCAGCCCAACCCTCCTGCCCTTAGACCAGTCCTTGTACTTAAGGCTACGAACAGGACAATAATCGTGATATGATTGAATAGTTCTTAAAGCTGGTGGCTGTGAAACACTGCAGTGAATCTGAGTCCTGAGCTTTAGCTGCTAGACAGCAATGTCGCACTAGTGTAGGGAGGAAATGATGTGGTTCTGCATTAAATAATAGTGAAGAAAACATATCAAAACATGCCAGGTATGTAACAAACACAGCATGAATCTAATTCCACTGTTTTTTTAAAGCTAAAAGCACCCAAAGGGCTGGAGCACCTCTCCTGTGGAGACAGGCTGAGAGAGTTGGGGTTGTACATCCTGGAGAAGAGAAGGCTCCAGGGAGACCTTGTTGGCCCTTCCAGTACCTAAAGGGGCAACAGGAAAGGTGGAGAGGGACTCTTGATCAGGGAGTGTAGGGATAGGACAAGGGGTAATGGTTTTAAATTGAAAGAGGGGAGATTCAGACTGGATATTAAGAAGAGATTCTTTGCTCTGAGGGTGGTGAGGCACTGGAACAGGTTGTCCAGGGAAGTTTTGGAGGCCCAATTCCTGGAAGTGTCTCAGGCCAGGATGGATAGGGCTTTGAGCAACCTGGTCTAGTGGAAGGTTCCTTTTTCCATGGCAGGGGGCTGGAACTAGATGACATTTAAGGTCCCTTCCAACCCAAACCATTCTGTGATTCTATGATTCTATCCATAAAACACTACCACATTCGGAGAAGAAAAAAGGTCTACTGAGGTAGAGGTCAACTATTTTCATATTGATGTATTAACATGCTTTCGCCTAGCCAAAGCTATACTGTTTGCACAGTGAGCTCACATTGGAGCCATCAGCTGTTTTGCACTGCTAGTGGG